AGATGGGTGAACAGATAGGAGAACAAGGTCCTTTCTAATTTGATTGCACATGATGTACTCTGTGATTACATTTTGTTCAGCAAGGCATTCAACCAGGCTTTAATCAGAACTTCTACTTGTTTTTAGAGCCTAACTAGGAGTCTTTCTTGCCTTCTAAATTTTACAGGAACTTCACCTGCACAAAATGAGAAGCACTCCTGTGACATTTCCAATGGTGTGGAATTACATTTAGACTCATAATTTGTATTTTATTGCAAGATGTGCCCTTATTAGGACACACAGGATTAAGGGTGTGTACCTCTTATTACAGGTATCTGCAGAACAGAATCCTCTCTCTTCTCTCTACTCCCCCTCTGTCTCTCTCCCTCTCCTTATCCCATAAGTCAAGATATCCCTCACAGTTAAGAGTCAGAGGTGAACAAGCTTTGCTTTGCTGCATCCAGTGAACACTCACTGTGCTGTACTTCACTTGAGCTATTAAAATAAACAAAATCCTTTCCTAGAAAAAGCTTTCTGAAAGGACTCAGTACTTCTTTTTAGGTTATTTGGGCAGATTTTCAGAACCACTAGGAGAATACTTAAAATCTTGGGGAAATAATTGTTAACTACTGGCCAGTAAAATAGATTATCAAAAGGGATGTAATACATACCTGTGCATTTAAATATATGACATTTAATCTTGAACATTTGAGCATGGTACATGGAATAGTTAATCCCCAGTTTATCTGGCCTTATAATTGAGTCGTAGTTTCAGAAAATAGTGAAATCATTCAGATCTGTGATTCTGACTTAGTGTTATATTTCTGAAGATGATTTATCACTACTATAAATCAGTAGTGATGCTACAGTCCTTCAAGGACAAACCTATTTCAGATCTGCTGAAACCTTTAAAGTCACACAGAAGCAGACATTGTAGCAGGTAAGGAGTTAATGTGTAAAATATTAACAGCCCTAAAGTTCCTTTCTGTCAACAACATATAGGCTATCCTTTTGAAACCTTCCAGCTGTACATATTAGTTCTGACAGGAAGGGTAATGGAGACCAGGCATCATGTGCTGTCTCTTCTTTGGGCTGGAAGCCTTTGAACGCCAGAGGCTGCACAAAGAGAGTGGGGAGAGATTACAGGAGACATTTTCAAAGGCATAAAGAGTTCTGAAGGACCCAGCTCCCATTCAAAATCAATGAGAGCCGGACACCTAATTAGCATGGGTACTTTGAAAATCTCCCACTCCTTCTCTTTTATGCAAGTTCCTTGCTATAGAAACAGTACTGAAATAGAAATCTAATTGGGAAAGGCTGTGACTGGGAAACAGAGGTGAGGAACTGGATTAACTGCATATTTCAAGACAAAAACTTTTTTTGGACTTGTTCATTGCACTTGCTGTTGAAATCAAAATCAAAGTCTTCACCAGTATGCAAACTCTCATCTTTTTCTCCTTGAATTTCAGTATTTTGACCCCAAAGATGTCTTGTCTTTAGAAATGACTGTGTCATATTAGTTTGCTTTATGTTATGTTGACATTATTGTTGTCTGTATAAAACAATATAAAGGCACATATCTGTTTTTAGAGGGCAATACATGTTCAGCTTGCCTGTGCCTGATAAAAGGATTCTTTGACAGGCAAGATTGTGTCTGCTTTCAAATCACAAGGTAACAGTTACAAGGAAGTGGATGATCATTGCCTTCCCACCACCCTCCCTGTTCTCTCAGGTTTGAACCAAGACCAAGGAATGACTGGCAAGCCAGAACATTGCATCTTCATTATCCTCCAAGATGTAAAGTCAAGGGCCAGATAAAACCATTATGCCTTGGAAGTTGGGAATGGGAGAATGGAGAACCCAAAGATGCTTTGGTGGGGCCTGTTGTATTTATATCTGCATTATTGTATTATCCAAATCCATAAGCCAATTTGTTTCAGTCTTAGATATGACTGCCCTTGGAGACAGTAAGAGCAGAGATCAGGATTTACACCTCCTTGGCAACAGGTATTTTTTATGCCAGAAACAATTTTGATCTTTCATCCAAAAGAAGCTTTATTCTCTTTGCTTTAAATATAATTCTGGTTTTTGTCATTCTGCCAGCTCATTCGGAGTCTCTGGCTTCGTGCCTCGTTATGACACGTTTTCAACCTGCCAATAAAAAAATCTGATATTGAGCCATTTTGGCAAATGTCTATTATCATCAAGGAAGAAAATTAGGGTCCCACTTGACATATGCCTCTGGTTTTAATCAAACTATTAAGACTCTGATATTGATAAATTGGCCAGAAATTGCTCAAACAGTGACTATTGCTACACTACCACTGTAATAATTAGTTCAATGACAAGAATTACTGTGATGCAGCACAGCAATTTTCCCTTTACTTTGAAAAGAGAAAACGAAGCAGGCAATACCTAAACTTTTGTAAAATAACTGTATGCTTTAAAATACATTTGGTTTACATTGGGCGAAACCAATCCTTTCTGTCATCACTTGATTATGAAACAATACTTCATTAGGATGTCTTGCATAAGGGGAGTCATCCTGGAACTTATTCCCTACATCCAGCTAATCTCCCTTGATTTAACTCCTTAAGATTTTAAAAATGTCTAGGTAACTGCCTTCTGTAACCCTTCTCACTATTACTTTCATTCAGGCATGCAGACAGATAAACAAGAGAGAGAAAATGGGCCTTATAACAGAATTAATCCTATAAGACCTAATTGTTCCTGTGCTGGTTGATGATTCACATACATTTCACAAAACTTCCTCTTATCTGCTTCCTCATAGAAAAAAATTAAAACTATAAAATTATCAGCACTCCAATCCAATATTGTTTTATCGATGTTTGTCACTTAGAATGTATTTTCACAGCATGAGTCATAGTACTAATGACAATCTTGCATCTTTCAATGCATACAACTCACTGTACACCGTGAAACAGGTAAGTATGTCAAAGTTCTCTGACCTTTTAGGTATAATAAAAATGTTTTAAAGAACAGTTGGAAGGAAGACAGTACCGGCTTGCCAATAAACATTTTTTTCTTTTTTAACAGCAGGATTTAATATGTGGATTTAGGAGGGAAATTCTTGTAGATCCTAGAATTTCCAGCACAAGCATGGTTTTGACTCATATAAGTCTCACACTTTAGAAGTCCCTACTCCTGAGAGAAATTCTACCACCAGCACATCGTCAGAGCCTTCAAGGCAGCTTCAATGTCTTGTTTGTCTTACAAAGGAGAGCAGAGTTTGGATCAGTGAATTCAGTTAGGAACTACTTGTCATGGTGATATGCAGCTGGATTTCACTTATCATCCTTTTATTACAGCCTTCTGCAGCCAGATTGCTTTTATTATGGTTTTGTACACAGTTACATTTTGCTTTGTAAACTGGGGGGTAGTTGAGGATATTTCCCACAATCCATTAATATAATGATACTCCTGCTTCTCCCACTTCACATTAGTGGGGGAAAAGAATTCCAGCATGTGCGCTCTCAGTAACACAGTAGATTTTTAATGGGTCTAATTTAAGAATATTTCATGCCAGGAAGAAGAAGAAGAAGAAAAACAATGAACTGCTTTGTAAAAATTCTGTTCCTTAAAAAATTCTCTACAAGGACTGAGACATTAAAACAGCAAACACATGAAAAGTACATCCGAAAGAACAGAAGATCAGCTCTGGATCCATTTTGACTTACACCAAGGCTTTATTTAGCCAAGGCACTTTAGCAGCTACCATTAGAGATAAACACAGATCAGACTAACCCAGGGAAAGTTCTCTGTTTCACACAGTGCTTGCCATGAGATGTTTGGTGTTAGAGTGAGAGAAGAGGTAGCATCTGTCACAACTTTATACTGAGGTGGTTTGAGGATTTGCACCATGCTATTATATGACCCAATTTTTCAGAACGTGCCAGCTGGCAAATCTGAATCTCCTTGAATTTACTAATATTGGAGACCAATTCTTAACTGTAAAACTGCTCAGATCATCAAGAACTAAGCTTTGTCAGTAGAGGCAAATAAAGAGAATTAGAATGCTTTCTTTCCTCTTTCACATTTGCATTTGGATTTTCCAAAGAAAGAAAACACTGTTCTCAAATATGTCATGCACATATTTGTGTATGAGACAACAATTTATAACATGAATGCTAATAAATAGCTTTTCTTGTAATTATTCCAGTTTCACCTGTCTCCCTACTCTTACTAAAAACATTATTTACAGGAGCTAAACCAGGAGTCTTTTCAGTGTCCATTTCAATGAAGTCACTAATAGCTTAGAGGAATGCCCTGAGTGCTCTCTTGTGTGCTGGTAAGAAGACAGCTATGTATTTATCAAGAAAAGAATGTTTTTTCAGTAGCAAACTCTATTTCAGTAAATATTTTAATTTTTTTTCAGAGTAAAACTCATTCTGTCATTAAATACATTCTTCATTTAAGAGCATGAGAATAAGGTATTTCCAAATATCCTGCGAAATACCTACACCTACCTGCATCCCAGTTTTTTGGATTTCAGTGCTACAGCTCAGGAACAGTTAAAAGTGTGATTACTTTGGAATGTTCAGATGACAACTGTGCAGGTTACATCAAACTGACATGATTTTTCTTTGCAGTTTGCTTGCAGAAGGAATCTCTGTTATAGGTCAGGTTTTTCATTCCTATCTTCTAAATGGTAGAGGTTACAGCTGAACATTTTTTATGTAACTTACATTTAACTCAGAAATATTAATTTAAATTAAAAATAAGAATGAACACTACCAAATTCATTACATTACATACCTTTATCTAAAGCCAAAGTGGATTCAATTGCTCAAAATATTCTGAATCTGTACAAGCCCACATCCTGTCTGTCTCCAGAAGCACTGTCAAGCAAACATTAAACTCCATCTTTATAAGTGGTTTAGTGAGGAAAAAAACCCAAACCAATGCACATTCTTCAGCTTTAAAGCAATGATCATAAAAATTCTCCATGATTTTAAGAATGTAGGGAAGAGACATTCTGCATTTTCAATGCATTAATTTACCTTTGTGATGTGAGGCGCTGGTCTGGGTCCAACACAGCAGGTAAGAGTGGTGCTTAAGGAAATAGAAGAGAAATACATTGAGAAGAAAGATTCTCTGCAAATGGCAATCCTTGTAGAGAAGGCAATGCTTCATTTGTGAAATAATAAACAAATTAATGGATATAATGCATGTGGAAATGCATAGAGCAGTTTAAAGAAACAAGGGAATTGCAGAGCAAACACACTGCCCCTCTCGTGAGGGCCATATCAGAGATAACCTGCTTATGGTGTGCTGTGCACTTCCCCCAAAAAAAGAAAGATAAATTCAGGCACTCTGCACTTTTCAGACCCTGATACCAAACCTACTGAAATTCATCGGTCCCTGACCTTAATGTGCTTTGAATCAGATCCTTAAGAGGGAAAAAAATGTATGCTTGAGAATATTCACTGCCATTCAAGCACTTCCAACACTTACCTTGACAGACAGTGTAACCCAAGCAATTATCCTGCAACGTTGTATGTAAATAATTATCAATTTATGCTGTCCCTGCTCTGACCTCCTGTAATTAGGCTGATGAGGTGTCAGCAAGTAGACCTTACCAGACACTTGCCAACCCTATCTGCAGACTGGTGAATAAGAGTTCTGTTTACCATTCCTTGAGTTCCCAGAGAACTACAGAGCACAACCACAGCGCCATTTAGAGTGAAACTCGGAGTTCCCAAACTCTAGTGTGAAACAATATTACTAATTTTAAGCTTTGAACAGAAAGTATCTTTCTGAATATTTCTCCTTCAAGTGTTTTTGTCATTCTTAATCATTAACACAGATGTACCCATAAGGCAATAATATATTTAAATACTTCTAGATGTTACTTGCTGTAGCTCTTTTTTCTGTTAGATTTTGGTACTGTAGGAAAGCACAGGAATGTGCCTGGAGAACCTTGATCTCTCCAAATTCTACAGGTTTGAAACATCACATGAGCCTTCTGATACATTGGTTTCAGGTAAGATTGTCTCCTCTGCCTGTTTACTTGCCAGAATATTGTATTCAGCTTTACCTTCTATATTTCACACTGTAATATCAGAGAATAATCTTTTATTTGTGCTTGTGTTGTAAAAGTATATAGAGATCATATTATTTGATATTATTTTCTCCAAATATTTCACTGAAATCTCAGCTGCCAGCTTCCCAGCACTGAGCACAGTACCTTTGAAGCTCAGTGTATCTGCCAACAACCTCTTACTTCAAAGCTTAAATTTCCAGTCATAACTCTAATCTGCAATTTTTCCTATGGTGCTATTCCACCTGCAGATTATGAAAGTTGAGTTCTGATAGAGGATTAAAGCATTAATAGTGATAATTTATATCTGCATCGATATAATTTTTGGGCGGCTTTACTGAGAATACCAGCAAAATGCCTTTTATTGGCAAAGAAAGCTCAAAGACTGAACTTTGAAGGGCTGTAGAGTTATTTAGCATTCCTATCCCTAATCTGTGTCATGTAGAAAGGTTTCCTCTTTCATCTTTCTAACAGAAAAATTGCTTAAAAATATTATTTGCCATTTTGGGATTTTAGGACGAGTAACAAGCGCAGATCTGAGAAAATGTCAAGGTAAATCACACACACAAAGAAGTGGCAACTTCCCACAGGTAAGAATTTTAAATCACAATTCTCCTGTGAATCCTAGAAATCATGATTCTCCTTGAAAATATTACTGGTTGGTTTCCCTTGTATTCATTTTTCCTTACAATAAATTCCCAGCAAATAACTCACTGATAGGTCAGATTTAATACATGAAGTCTGCCAGCACTCCTCACATGACATACCTCATACCATTCACTGGTATGAGAAAACAGTTTTAAAATTATCTCTACTTCTCATACTTCAAAGATTTGCAGGGAAAAAATGGTTATTCATCCAATATATTTAACAGAGTAACACAGAAATTTATGAGAAGCATTCACTTGGTAACTTTGAGAATGAAAGGAAAACTTGCAGTTTAACCCCATGATCTTCTCTGGCTTTCCTGTTTTCAGTGAACCTTAGAGAACTATTAAAACAACACAGGGTATTGCTGGTAGGCCATAGGATCTCCTTATTTCTACTTAGAATCTGTATAGAAAATGAACTACAGAGCTCAATAAAAATCACTTTATTAGTTTGATAAGTCTCAATATTCTCTTGATTTTGTTGTCTTAATAACATTTAATATTACTACACTGTATCTTTTTTTTTTTCTCCTTAGTCTGTTTGCAAGTTTGGCTGACTAAAAACTGGCATTAAAGTAACTAGTAAATTCTCAGGAATTGCTATCAGGGCTCAAAAAGGAAGCATAGACAGGATTTTATCTCCATCACAAGCTGTATCTGTCTTCCTATCCAAGATGCTATCCAGAGCAAAGGTGTGTGATCAGAAAGCAAAAGTACAGCAACTCCATACTAAAGGAAAATTACAATGTAAAATGAGCAAAATGCAACAGATGGAGACAACTGCTGTTACAGACCTATTATATTGCCTCCTCAATTCTGTATGAATATTTATTTCTTACCTGCTGGCTGGAAAGGTAAGCATTTCCTTCAAGGCCTAAAAGGAAGGAGAAAAAAGGGAAAATTAAATTTTAAATGGATTTTTTCCCAATGCTCACAAACCAAAATGAAACATAGACTTAAATTTATTTTTTTCCTCCATCCCTTCTATTTCTACTATTTTAATGAGAAACCAAAATGGAAGTACATTACTTTCCTCATTAGATTATCACATGCCCATCATTTCAAGGGAAATAGTTTTTTCAGTCATTGAATGAGCAAAGGGATGAATGAACCAACCAAACTTTTTTCAAAGCAATCTTAACCAATGTATTGTTGACTTACACCTTATTTTCAGTATAAAACTCAGCCTGAAGAAACTTAGTTTATAAGGATAAACCACTAATGAAACACAAATCCAGTATTTGAATCTTCTCAATTGCTCATCCTGCCCTTTTGGATATAAAACATAAAAACAATTCCAGCATAACATGAAAGAACAGAATTCTTCAAATGTTTTTGTATCTATAAAATGCACAGACTTTTGTAAAGCAATATAATGACATCTAGAGAAAAATAAAAACAGTTGCTCATGGTAATTATATGAGAGCGACAGAAAACCTAACAAGATTGGTTATTTCCTTTTAACTTCACCAGTAGGTCTCCTGTAGCATAGAAGAAATTACAGAGGGAACCAGCAAATATTCTGAATGATTAGTCTGTTATTACAGTTGAAAGTGCAATAATCTTTGCTAGATCATTTTCCAGACACCAACAAAGCTGCATTAGGAATATTTTGAAATCCAATATTGGTACACTGTCAGAGATTTTAATTTCATAACAAACATTTTTTACATTTGCATCATTAGCATCATTTGCAGTTGCTAATGCTGCTTGTTCACAAATTAATGCAAAACTGACTATTTGCTTCCAGCCAACTACCCAGATAACATGATGAGCATGAATCAGCATCGGGTGTAAAAGACATTTAAAAATATTTTTATAATTTCTATTCATCTGCAAAACTGGATTAACAACTCTGGGATATATTCCATTGCATCAGGTTCAGAAATCATGGAAACATTGATATCCCTGTAAAATTATTCTCTCTAAGTGGTGGAATTATAAGGATTTGAAAATGTCTCCAAACTATTAGTAGCTTCTTTTGTGATTTTGAGAACATCTTGATATGCAACTGAGTTGTGATTTTTGGAAATATATCAGAACAAGCAAGATAAAACCGGAAAGAAGTTTTCAGGTTGAATATTGCTCAGGCTTTTTTTCCACTATTTGAAAAATAATGAATATAAACTGATGGTTTATGTCCTTAAGTTCATGACACAACACATTAACTGGAGAACAGACCCCAGTAAGGAATCAAACAAAAGTTATCCACTGAAATTCAGATCTAAAAGTTTAGCAGAGTAGAAATCAGAAATAGAGATTGCAAAAAGTGGTAAATATTGTTTTGCGACTAACTGATTTCATGTTCCGATTCCAAGAAATGAAACGATCCCATTCCAAATCCAGCCGCTTTCTCTGGAATAACTACTGATTTCTGAGAAATCTGGAACTGTTAACGAGCACTGAATGTGGCAAGAGATTTATCTGCACGAGGAACATTGAAAACAAGTTCAGGTGGGTGTGTGCATGCTCATACAAGGAAATATTTTAATGTTCTTTTCTTAAAGCCGAGTGGTAGTATTTCAGCATTATGGTTAACATACTGTATGATTTTTAAGATATAATTGCCTTTTTAGCTACAGAGGAAAGGGTGGATGTGCTAATGTCTGTCAGACAACTGGCCCATTTTTAAATGATTGTTCTCTTGGCAAAGTCTGATATCAGGGGAACAGAACTGTAACATGCAGAGCATTGGGCACTGCAGGAAACAGTGCAAACCAAAGCTCAATTACTCAACAATAGTTCCAGTAAACTTTTTATAGTTTAGGTACCACATAGCATGAATTCTTGTCTGTCAAGCCCTTATTGAAGAGAGTGGGAAGCAAGAAGAGGTCACTCACTTATCCAAGTGATGGATTCTCCTGTGTTGGCTACAATACTTGCTACCAAGTCCACAGCTTTGCTTCCATCTGTCTTGAAGAGCTATAAATGTCCCTGCTAAGTCCTATGATCCACTGTCAAGGTCTATATAGGGCATAAAGAAAGACGGATGATGATTTCCTTGATGGAATCTCATCATCTACCTCCAAGCAACCTGTGAGATGTTAGTAGTGAAGGAATTTCTTCTTGCTCCCTGACCCTTAATAGGCAATTAGCTTTTACTTCTTAAAATTATAGCATGTTCTTTATTTTAGTTTATCTAACTTGAAGTGTTAATTATTGGTCACAAAATTACCCTTTTGAAAATTGCCCATAAGAATTTCATACTCTAAACTTCTGCATCTTTGATTTAAACAGATGGACTCTGAGTTTTTGAGTATCCTACTTATTTTTAAGTGTTATAGCTTTGATTATTAAAATATCAGTCTTATATTTAAGGATAAAATGTGTGTCTATATGTCTATACCAGTATTAATGGCACAGGATCAGAGCAGGTTAGCATTCAGCTAAGAGACATTTTGTCTCGGGTCCCACAGTGGTCAAGTGTGATGCACACAAATTACAAATATGCTGCTGCTCTGAATGGTCTCTGATAGCGCTCCCAGCTCACAGAGCATTCTCTGAGCACTATCAGAGTGCTCTGCAGCTCTTTCAAGCCCTGTCTACACACAGATACTTCCTTTTCAGCTGCAGCTGCCACACTGAGCAGAACAGGGGCCCTCACGGTGCGATCTGAGCTGACAAGGCTATTTGCTTGCCACTGCGCCTGTATTTTCCTACGGACAGGGACGGCAGGAACCTCCCCTCTGAAGTCAGCAAATCCATACTAATTTACAGCAGACCAGGAGCTGGCTCTTAACATACTTAGCTGCTTCTTATATGGTTTATTTGTGGAAGGCTCAATAACTCTACTGTCTGCTGAAGAGGAAAATGCACATCTAAGCATAATAGAGCAACTTGAACATTGTTATTACAGCCGAGGTGCCACGTTCAGCGAGATCAATGCTCATATTAAGATGTTTGTTAATGAAACCCCCTGGCATATGGCTAATTTATGCTTCTCAAGCAGCTCCTGTAGGCTGGCTACTGTGACTGTCATAAAATATATAGGTGTGCAATTCATCTGGCTAGATTAAAATCGTGAACTCGTAGCAAGCACATCAAAGACAGCTTTATACCTGCTCTGTGGGTCTGCACAGCAAAGATAGAAAATGCAATTTCACTAATTCTCTTATTTAATTAAAGAAAGGAAAAAGAAAAACAAGTGGAGCTGTTATAAGAGTATCAATCCCACCTGACTTACACAACTTTGATGATCAAATTCAGTACTAAGTGTATCAAAACTTAGTAAGCCATTGAGAGAACCAAATTGGCTGACTGGCGTCCCAGTGGGCAGATTAATCCGTGTGAACTCTTCCATTGAGTGTATACTGCCCAACCCTCCAAAATAGTATAAGAGACCTGAGTGATTTTTGTAATTAAAGTATTTTAATAATCTATTCCTCAACTAGAAGGACCTACAGTCAAAATGTCAACTTTAATCTTGTTTTGGTAACAGGTTTCTTCTTAAAAAAGATTCTCCCTACACTGAAGCAGCCCTAAATTTGTTTCTGTTAAGAGGTGGGGAGACTGATTGCAGAAATGACTAAGCTATTTTTTGCTACAGGTATTTCAGTTTTTCTCTGAAATCTAATTTCAGCAAACAGGTACATGCCAGTAAGGAACACAGAGGAACCACGACTTAGAGAACACTAGAGAAGATGAATATTTAAAATATGGGCAGATGAGGTGGCCTCTGTAGACTTAGTCAGAGCTGGGGCATGGATATGAGCAAATGACATTAACAGGCTGTTGGCTATTTTCAGGTGGCACTCTGCCACCACCTTTGCTCTTTCCCTCACTGGAGACAAAAGGTTCACTGTGGAGGATAAAAATAAATGAAAATTTGCATGTTCTGATACAAAAATCTCCAAATCCTGAGCAGTGCCTGTATATTTTGCATGATAATGACTTGGAGCCTTGGAGCTCAGAAACCATGGGAGCCTTAAGCAGAGGCAATTCACTCCTTCAGTGACACTGATAAAATCTGTTGATGTCAGGAAGAGTTCTAAAAAACCTCGCTGAATCCCTGAAGGGCATTAACCCTTGTTAATGGCAGGAATTTGAGCTCTGTGATCATGGTACAGCACAATATATTGTATCCAGTCAATCCATCTGAATGCTGGTGTTTCTCAAAGTACAGTTCCCTTCTGGGATAAACTGGCCAGAATTATAGATTTTGGGAACAACCTGCCTGCTCAGTGACATTGGTATTCCTGTCAGCTTCTGTGCCAACAGCAGCAGGAAAGCTGAAGAGAATGCCAATGAAGCAGGAGAGCTGCTTCATTACATGTTTTGGTGGATTTGAATCAGAATTCTACATGTTCTCAATTAGTAGGAAAATTTGAAATTGCAACTTTAGGCAGATCTAGATCAAAACAAAAATCAGTAAAACTCGAAATTTTCTGTGAAACAGCAATCCTGTTCCTTCTATTGGCTTTATTATTCACATCAAAAAGATCTGTGGAAACAGCAAGAACAAATTTTCATTTCATCCTGCCACAGTGCTGGGCAGAGTTACAAGTTTCCAAGTCGTGTTCTCGTCCTCGTGCTATACAAAATAGGATTTTAGCAGTATGAACAAGTCACAATGAGAAGCAAAAGAAAATAAACCAGTAGGCTATACCTACTCCTGAAAGGTGAGCTCTCTGCATAAATGCTTCTGTTGAAAAACATACCCCTAAAAGTGAAAAGAATCTGAAATGTGGGATATACAAATGTGTTATTTATGCCACAGTGCTTTTATTCATTGCATCAATAATTTTGCTTGCAGAGACACAGGCAGATGATTACCTTTAAAAGGAATCCTGGTGCTCTATTTGTAGCAGGTTGAATTTCATCATAAAAATATCAATTTTCTCATGTTGCCTCAAGCTTAAATAGCCAATACCATCTTAAAGAAGATATTTACAGATGGATAAACTCTAGCTTTTGCAAGCTGCACAGATCTGACTCTCTGGAAATTTGTTAAGAGGGTGGTACTGATTCAAGTGCCTCAAGTCAGTGCGATCAAGAAAACACTTTAAAATCACAGTTTACTATTAAATCCACTTACTTTTTGCTAACTATTTAGTCTTTTATAGAATTATCATACCACAAATCTTTATATGAGTGTCCTTGTTTTGCTGAGAGTCTACTCTTGAGTTACCATCCCCTGAGTTATTTAAAAGATGTGTAGATGTGGCACTTGGGGACGTGGTTCAGTGGTGGGATTGGCAGTGCTGGGAGAATGGTTGGACTTGATAATCTTAAAGCTCTTTTCCAACCTGAAGGATTCTATGGTTCTCTGATCTGCTACGTGGCTGAAATATTAACTTACTCCACGCTGGAAATACCCTCTTAAAAATGTTTATTATTAAACAGATTGCCCTTCCCTTTCTTCTGAAACTCTTTATCCAAGTGTTCACTATGTCCTTGCATCACAACACTCTCACTGTGAATATATAACTTATATAGAAGTTGTATTTATACTCAGTATTTCAGAGGATTTGGCAGGAAATAAAAATACATAAACCCAATAATTCCAAACAGAAAAGTTATTCATTAACTACTTGAAGAAAAAACCAGAAAATACATTGTTGGAATAAATTTATCACATGTGAATTTTAGGTAAGTTCTACACCTTCTTTTAGGGTCTTTTGTCTTTATATGAAGGAAAGGAAATTCAATATACAATTTCAGTTTTATTACCTTTGTACTATTCCCATCAAATAAATCCAGCTATGTGAAGGTCTTTCTCTGCTTTTTAAAAAGATCACTCTTGAAATGAAACTTTCTTTTCATTTCAGTGCAACATAGCCTGTTTTAATAAAGAATTTTGCTCCCGATTGAGAGCGTTTTGATGAAATAATACAATTGCTTTTGTTTGCCATTTAATTTTCCAGTGGATCAATAGAGTTGGACATAACTACTTTTGGTATTAAAAGTCACAAATTCTAGGGGAAATGGAGGTTAAATCGTAAACAAAATATTTCATTGGCATTGATCTGAAAAGCAGACTGACAGGATTGCTAAAAAATCATCCGCTTGCAATTATAAATCTCCCCAAACTGACAAGAGATGGATTTGATTATTTTGCTTTGAAAGGGGTCATTCCTTTAAAGCTGCAAGACTTTATCAATTTATAAAAGATTAAATGAACCATGTTTTCCTTTGCTTCCTGTCACAACTCCTTTTTTGTGATTACCCAGGCTAGATCAGGTTATGAGAATGACTGATTATTTTCCTCTCTATTTTAGGCAACCTCACATTAACAGAATTTATGACCCATGCTGGATCATTTGTGATACAAAGATTACAGGTAACCTGAACTTACTTAATGTACTGTGATACAGTGCCAACAAGTACAGCTACTCCTAATGCCACAAGTGCAGCATGAAAAAATTCCCCAATTTCATCCACCAATATCCATCCAGACAATATCCAAAGTTACAGTTGCAGTTTATTTCTTTAAATGAATGAGAATTTTTATGTACCCTGTAGCTAACAAAAATACTGCCTTTTTAACCTAATTTCCCCCCTCTTCTCTCTTGCTCCAAGAGAAATAGGAGTGGGCCAGTTCTTTAGATAACATTGATTGCTCTATTTCAGTCACTAACTGTGTACACTTTAAATTGGCAGAGAAAGGGGAACAATTTCCTAAGCAAGCATCGCACCTTATAAACCTCTGCATGGTAAAAGGGAATCCTTGTCTGAAAAGCACCTTTCAAATGGTCATTATTTGGGTTCCCACCTTATCAAAACGTTACAACTGTGCTTATATTTTGGATGCTGATACCCTTACCAACAGAACAGCTCACACCCAGCCCCAGCAGATCAATCCCTCTGCTGTGCTGATGTCTAAGCTCCCCAGGAATGACAGAATTCTCTGCCTCGTGCCAAGTACCCAGAAGGCACAAATTCCTCTCTAGAACCAATTTTCTTTCAGCAGCTCTGACAGCCAGGATAGAGGCAAAAACCTGTGGCAAGCCAGGTGGGATAGTGGCTAAACCCCAGTTCCTTGTGCAGCTGTGGCACAGCCTTCACACTGCTGCTCATTGCAGTGATGGATTCCTGCAGTGCTTTCCTTGCAGCTTACAAGGCTGGGGAGAGGTGTGGTGGACTGATTGGTGATGGTGTGTCTGTAAGTATGAGTACAAACCAGGCCTGAATACCTTATATGTATATATATACAAAATAGCTAATGAAATCATATACAAATACTGCTTTTTAAATTACTTTGATCTGTTCCTGCACATATAAAGGTAGCAGGTGTCCTACTCTTGTAGCTGAACTACACCATAAAAACCCCAAGCAGATGAAACTTAAATATGGTAACATTTTTGTAACAATTATAACATTGTCAAGGTACTTTGTTTCTTAAGCTTGTAAATAACATGAGGAAACTGTTTTCTGCATATGCTGAAAACATGAGCAAGGGCCTATAAATTTTACACATCCCATTTATGTTACAATGGAATTTAATCTTGCTATAGCAGTTTGGAGCAACCTTAGTGACATTTTTTCTGTGGCCCCCTCTACAAGAAGAAACAACAAAAATCATAAGAAATGTCTGCAAAAATGTTTGCTTGTCTCCAGCTGTTCAGTACTGACATTCTAGCATTGAAACTTACATTCAGGCAAAACCCCTCCTCTTAAAAATTCCACTTCAACTGTTCAAACTGTCCTTAACTTACTCTGAAATAAAAGATGTTATGCTACAAAAAGTAGTTTCAGTTACACTTATGCTTTATTTTTATGCACTAGACTGTTTACAGGAATTCAGTCTAATAAGAGTCAGCTCAGTTAAAAGAAGAACTTTACCAGAAGTTTAATCAGCTTTTTATCCCCACTTTTTTGATTTTGATCCCTTACAGTCACTAAGCATATTTATGTCAATATTTCAAAGTTTCCTGTATTCTCAAAGCTACTGAAGCAGCTGATGTTTTATAGCATTATGTTAGCAACTCATCAATTTTTTATAATTATATTTCCAGTAGTCTACTCCCATCCCTCCACATATGATTATCTGCCTGAGGCCACCACTCAGAACCGTCCTATTTTAATGCACAGGTCAGCAAGACTTTGCTCCTTCTTGGCTGATTTTTTTCCCAATCGTGTTTCAATTTTTTTGCTTAGTCACCCACAAACCAGAACTTAGTAAAAATAAGTAAAAATGCACACTATCGGATTAATTACTAAATAGTATTTCAGCTTTGTGTTTAGCAACAAGGCTCATGCAGGCAAAAGTTAGAAACTTGTGGGGACTCAGAAAAATGACAGGGATACTTTTTTATTGCAAATTAGTCCATACAGGTCTTGTTAAAAGGGTCAAGCTTCAGAGGAAAAGCACAAGTCATGAAAACAGATCACTGGAGGAATGTATGTAAGTACTCCAAGCAATGAGAGAGAATGATGCTCTCGCTTGCTAGTGGGAAATGTCAAAGAAAAAGAATCAGCATCACAGTGCAAGTTATTTCTCTTGGATAAAAGAGCAGCAAGGCAGCTAAGTGCTTGTTCAGAGAGGAGCAGGAACGTAGAACTCCTTTTTTCACCTTTAAATACCTAAGATAGCAATTTTATTTCTTCTGCACAGGTTTCTATAGACCAGCAAAAAAATATTGTTACTCTTCACACTCTATACAGAAGCAACTTTTGACTTCTGATCTCCACTCTCCGTAACTTAGTAATTTTTGTTCTTAAAAAAAGTGTGGGAACATGCATCCACTTTCCTACATACACTTTACTGGCTGAATAACACTGTCTGCTAAAATCCAAGAAAAATAAGCCCAAAAAATCTCTGCATTGCTACGGCACATAATAAAAAATAACAAAACCTGTTTTCCTGTCATCTTAGGTATTTTTACATTGCTCATTAGAAATTAATGCTATTAATGTCATCAATTCCAGAGCCAAGGTTAATCTGGTTGCATAAATGTATGATGATTGCTATTTTAGAACTTTTACTGATTTCTGGCATAGGAATGCCAGATATTATCCAATTTTTTATGATTATATTTGTGGTCAACATAAAAAATATTTGCTAACATGGCTCTTGAACTTTTTAAAAGCGATTGTTTTTGCTCAGACGTAAACGCATTTACAGCCAAAGGAATCAGTGAACATACATAAAGGGCACATGGCAGAACTCTTTACTCTGAAAATCCATCCCTCTTTCTGCCAGCAGCATTAAGAGAATGCTGCCACCATTTTCTGCTTCTATATCATTGGAAGACCTCCCAGTCTCAGTGAGGTTGTGATGACCCCAGGAAAGGAAATTGTTTGCTTTCATGCATTCATTTTGATGCTGGATTGATTTATTTTCATGTAAAACTACAGTAGTAATATGCTTGAGTTGCATAAATCTGGAAGCCATGTATATTTTCATTTATACATAATCACATTTTAATGACAACCATGATAGGTGTGTATGTGAGATTGGTAAGTGTGGCATTTTGCAGTGTCATCTTCCTGAAGATGTATTTTCTTGTTAAATTATTTCATTTATATCAAGCCCTCTGAGCTTACTGTGACCTCACTTTCAGGCAGTCAGCAAAAGCAATAAACAAAGAAGCTTTGCACAGCACATTTCCCTTTTCACTTAGCTGCTTACAAAGCCATCATTCAAAGATTGTTTTGGAAACATTTGTCTGACTCGCTAAAATTGAAAGGAGGATTACTCAGGAACAGGAGGGAGGAGGAACAGCACAACATGCAGGGAAGAGATGGAGTGGCTTCTGAGACACATCAGTGCCTAGCCTATAGTGTTGTCTGCAGAGCAACAAACTGGCATTATTTAAAGAATTAAACCCAAAATTTAAGAAGACTGATGGTATGATTGGGGGTTTGATTAATATAAGTAGGTTTGCTGACAGAATTACAAACTAATCCTCTCATAGAAACTATAGCTCTGAAAGCATTTTACCAAGTAAACATCTTTATCAGTACTTTATAAATAGGGTAACTCTGCCATGAGATAATCAAATCCTTATGTTATTCAGCAGGCCAATGATAGACTTCAAAATAAAAGTTAAACTCTGTACATCCTGTATCAGTGATGAATTCATGGACTTTCTCCTTTAAAGAGATTAATGTGACAGGATTTAGAGAAGTTTAATTAACCTATCTATGGTTGGTTTGTTGTTTTGTTTGGTTGGTTTTTGTTTTGGTTTGGTTTTTTTCCTGGGGTACATATTCAAGTACGGATTTAGAAGGGAATCAGGAGTTTTCTCTCTGAAAACAGGCCAAGATTTAGGAACAAAAGACAGCTGGAAGGGGAGTGTGTGTCTGGGAAAGAATTAGAGCTCCTTGTTCTCTATGGCCATCAGCTGAACAGGCAGGTTGCCAGAACAGGAGCACTGGGTTTGTGTTTGGGGGAATGGGATCCAGGTATTCCCTCTTTGAAGTAGAGGCTGTTGAGAATTTGTGCTTTGCAAAGCTGTTGCAAGAACAGCTCCATCTTTTTCCCCCTGTGACTGAATTACACTTGCAAGCCAGATTTGAGTTTATATGCACACAGAAGCAGAACCCACTCTTATACACAGAATACCACTTAAAATACTTGTTAATTACCTTTTAAAACTCGCAGACTCTTGACCTGTATCTAATGTGACAGCAAATCCTCTTCAGTTCTTAATAATCCTTTAAACCAATTGTTCTTGTAGAAAAGAGTTTGACAATTATATCGAAGAAATGACCTTTTCTTCACCCATTTTCCAAACCCATTTGTCATTGTGAGCTCTGCAAATCAGGCTGTATCAATCACATTACACTACAATACATCATACCATGTACTAAGGCATGAATGATATAAGCTAAGATTAGATGTCATAACCACACAAATTACTAAGATACTTGAGAAGCCAAAAGACCACATTCTTATCTGATATGAAATGACTTGTTTGGGGAGGTCTGGGGGATTTTCTCTCTGGGGAGAAACTAGAAGATAGGATATGCTTTATCTGCCAACATTGCACCATTACTTTTGATTATGTGTCATTTGCTGTATCATTACGTGTACATGTGTAACATGAGCAGATTCAACATGTATTCCTCTGTGGATGTTTGACTAGCCACGGAAAATCACCTCCTGTAAGAACAGCTGGTGGAAGCTGATCTAAGGAAAACTGAAATGGTGAGGTTTGGAAAAGAAAATGTTTCAAAAGTTGTCCCAAAGCTTTCGGTTTCTATTTGTTAATCTAATGCACATGCCTGGGTCTTGTTAGATCCCTCCTAAACTTGGGCATTCACAAACCATCAATCTCCAAAATGAGCATTTGTCCTTCCATTGTATTAGTTCAACCCTGCCTAAGGACCGTTTCCTGTAGCAGTTTCTGTATTTGTCATTGTATCTTTGTGTTCAAATGAAGAAGACACAGCATAACTTCCCTAGTAACTGCAAGCCTATGCCTGTGCTATATATATAGATAAGTTAAAGGCATTCCATACAGCTTGACAATACAATCTAACAACTGCATTCAGTATTCCCATTTAACAGGGAAGTCTAAAAAGGAATGAACTGGACATAATTTCACCTCTTCTAAGGGAGGGAAATGTATGTCATTTATACTGTCATATAAATGAAAATAAAAAAATTAAGAATATAAGACTATAAAATATAGCAAAAATTAGTTAAATATTATAAGTACAAACTGTAAATAATTAAATAGGAACTATCTAAGTTTTTCTCCGTTTAAACTTTAAAACCAAGTTTATCTTCCACTGGAAAAATGTCCATTAAAATAGGCTGTAATATTATAAATACATGTATACAAAACCCAAGTCATACTCTTTGATGTCTCCCATGAGATTTCTACCTGAATAAAATCAAAGTTTAGGTGTGATGGTTTTATTTCTTTGCATAATAAAATCTCTCATGCTAATGCCTTATTACAAACCCTACAGAACTTCAGTCCAACAGATCAGGTAAGTTAACACACACCCAAACTTCTGGATTCTCATTCAAAATTATTCTCTGCATTTTTGTAATATGTTTGAAAGACAAATGGCTCCAGGTTAGTCAAAAGAGCCCAGGACATTTACAAATACTGCAAAGAAAAAATATGCCATTTCTGAAATGAAAATAAATTAGTCTTAGGTACTTAAACCCCCACACTCACACAGTCAGACCAGGTTTCTTTACCGGCTTGGTCTCAGTTTTCCCATAGCAGAGTCTGGACATCCTGGTCCTCAAAATAATTTAATCATGGGGCAATAAAAAAATAACAGCTAGAGATGGGTGCCTCAGGGGAGAGAACCCCAACAAAGGAAACCCTGGGCTTTTATGCCATCACAGTTTTGAAAATTTTACTAGCAGACTTTAAGGTTTAGAGAAGAATTCTCAGGGAAAAAAGAAAAAAAAAAAGACGCCTACATTACATTTAACAAGGAGGAAAGGAAAAGAAAACCATCTTTTGCAAAAGATGCAGTTCAATAAAAGTCAAATGTCAAATATATAAAGATTGACTGGTACCTGAAAAACAAGTGTTGTGAAGAGAAACCCATTGTGCAAAGGAGGAAATAGAAAGCACAGCTATGACACCTTGACCATGTTTCAGAATAAGTACTCATGAATATATTCACCTACCTTGTGTTACAGCTCATCCAACAGTATATTTGTGTATATGAGTAATAGACACAGACATGGATGTATTTTTTCTGTGTGCCAAAACAGCCACACAAAAAAGAAATACCTCAAATCAATCTTCGAAAATTTCACCTTCTGAAATGTTTTAAGTTGGTCACATTCACCTATTAGTTCCAGCGTTTAAATAAGGACTTATAGTAAGGATGTTCTTGTATGATATTGTAAATAATCAAAGTTTATAAATAGCTTTTGTTTCATTATTCTGTGTCTTCCAGTGACATCCCAAGGATAAGTCAAATTATGAAAGTAATTGCAGACTGTAAAAAAAGAAATAATTAGCTTTGTAATAGAAAACATTTCTGTAGCTTGGGTAGGTTGTTAGAGCCAATTTTTGCTTCATTAATCGAAGTAGTTATTCAGCATACATTAATTCAGTACCCAGAATTCAGAAGTGGCAAGCAATCAATAAAAATAAATGAATATTGATATGGCAGGACTTTCACGATATTGTATTTATAGCACCCCTGAAGCAAGTTAGATCCTACATTAAAAGATCAATAAACTAATGCAACGGCTAACGCCCTGCATCCAGAAAGTCATGGTGTCAGGGGAGGAGAGGAAGGAAGCTAAATATTTATTCCTGTGTTTCTGATGAGATTGCAGAACTTCTGTAAGATTGAAACGAGGACATTGATTACCTTTCCAGTGGAGTCCAAGGCCACTTTCCCCTGTTCAGCCAACATCTGTATATCAGCAAAGGGCCTCCTCTTCCCTCCCGTTCCTGGGCTCCTGTGAGTTGTTCTCTGAAAGAGAAGGAGAAAACATCCCATTTTTGTTCTGCAGTGACACAGTTCTTTGAATTTGATATGCTGCTGAACTCACTGCTTTGCTTTCAAAACGGGAGAAAAATTATAATAAAATCAGGTTATTTTCACTGAAGTAAAAAAAAAACCTAGTCAGTGAAAATACCAGGGTAAATGAGGTCACACAGAAACTTCAGTAGCAGCTGTCAAAAATCTTGTGGTCAAACCTTTAATCAAACGCTAGATTTTATTTACTAAATATAATATGTGGATACATATGCACATATAAAATCCTTGTATTAATGTAAAATCGTATTTGACAGTCAGAATTTAAAAGTCAAAGCGTTTGTAGTGAGCGATTTTAGACTGTATTTATTAAAGAACATATGAAAAACAGTTAATGCCTTTAAAACATATGACTTGATAATGCAACCTAAGAAAGTGTGATTTCACAAAACCCACTTAATAAAAAAAAAAAAACTTCACTTTCAAATAACTTTCTTCACATTTTTCATTAGCTTAAATTTGGCTTGAAAACTGTCAAATTTGATATTTTACTACTGTAATTTACGTATTTTACTGCTGTATGTGAAAAGAGAATGAAAACAACACAGGAAAAAAGTTAACTATTTTTCATAAGATGGATATCCTTCTCAAGCTGTTTTTCAAAATGAGTGTTTCAATAATTTCACCCTCAAAAAAACAAACATTCTCCCCAGAGTTTAAACCAGGCTCTTTAAATCAAAGTATTTTCAAACTTTTTTACCAAAAGTGTTTCAGCCTTGCCTACCCTACAGACCACCTGCCTTCACTTAAATTTTTGATTTTCTATTTTGTTGCTTTGTCTTGAAAACTTGATTCCAAGGCTGACCTGTTCAATAAGGGTGACTTATTAAGGTAACAGTCTTTAGCATCATGAACTGCCTTCCAGTCCACACTGTGAAGCTGGGTGAGAGATTTTAAAAGTGTGTCACTACTATTAAAGCACAAAAAGGTGTATCTGTGAGCTGGAGCACAGCCAAACAACTGCTGTGAGAACCACTCCAATGGACAAGAGTCCTCACTCATCCCAGATTTTCAGGCTGATATTTGTAGAGAGTAATCCCAAAGGGACAAGATATACAGAAAGGAAGGTGTATGCCTGCCTTTGACCCCGAAGCATTAAATCTGCAAACCCTTAGGGAATACACAGATTTGAAGATTTCACTGCACACTTCATTACACACTCAGCAGCTTGGATTTCCTGCACCCTTGTGCTGCTTTTTAACTGGGATAGAGTATGCATGGCCTCTTATTATTTTACAGTATAAATTAGTATTTGCAAAAACTATTTTATGGTTTTTCCTGTATATTCTCTGATTGTCAAGACAAGGCATGTGCAGACAAACCAGCCATAAGAGAAGGATGGGTGCCAGCTGCCAAAACGAAAACTCCTACTTTTTGAGAGAAGCAGTTTAGACAGCCCATGGGAGAAGAACTGTACCTTACCTACAAGGAAGGATGGGAGCAGAGCTCTGCAACGCAACAGGAAAGATCCTTTTCCAGCTCTTTAGTCTCTGAGGTGACAGCAGAAGCACAGAAATTCCACAGAAATTGGTTTTATGCTGCCAGGGTGCTACAGAGCCGTTGCCGTGGACATAAATCTATACCCCAAGGTAGAGCATGGTATAGAAAGTATTAAGCAAGATATTGCTATGTAACTAAAAATGACAATAATAAAAATATATATTGTATATGAACTTCTCAGGCAGCCTGGTTAGAAAATCTTAATCATCTCTAGCTATGTATTGATTTGCCAGTGCTACAGAGTTTAAATAGAATTTTTTAGGTAGCTATGATTTGAGATCACTTTTCATTGGTGGATTTGTTGGGTGTTTTTAAAGAATGAGAATTGAGACCACTGATCTCATCCTCTTGATTTTGAAGCATTGTAATCTGTCTTTAAAAAGGCCAGTTCTGTTTAAATGAAGGCTTTAAATTCATGTCTGGAAATAATGTAATCAAAGGAATAGGAATACAGTCTTTGCTCAAACTTCCAATATTTTGACAAGATATAGGAGCTGATTCTGTTTCTAAATGGTGGTACTGAAATTAAGATTGATGAGTAAGTATTAGAAGAAAATAACTTCAAGTTACCTGCAATAGCATTTAATTGCATCATTTAAATTCTTAAGCATTTCAATTTTATATTCATTCAGGGTTTTGCATAATTAATTTGCAGATTTCCAGAATGCATTAGGATGAAACTTTTAAATGGATGGATGGTTATTAATGGATGATATAAATATATTATTCATTATTTTTGGTTGTCATTGTAAATTGCACTGAGTACTTCTGAATGAATATTAAATTCAACATAATCCCTTGAATTCAAAAGCAAAATGCATCCTCAGTAATAATTTGTTGAAATATAGAATACTTCAGGTGTCATTTCATAATAAGTGCCCTGTAACAAAATGTTAACAATTGTTAATGTCACACTTTCCTTTTCTCAGGAAAATGGCAGGATCACCCAGGCAAAACTGAATTTCAAGTAGTCAACCTTTTCAAAGATGTCAACACTAGGCAGATCTGCTCTAGTTCAGAAATAAATCTCAAAACTCTGATTACCTAAGCAATACTAACATTTGCAGGGCAACTGAATGCTATGTTAGAGAATAATTTCATTTATACCAAAAAAGTACCAGAGAACATATATAAGAAGATGGTCACAGAGAAATTCCATTAACTAAAGAAGAAAGGGGAAAAAGGTGGAAAAAAGGTAGGCTGAGCTAAGGAAAGCTCTTTCAAGAGCTGTTTCCAGCACGTAACACAGATTCATAAACAATTCTCATCTGTTTTTAATGCTTCAATTCTTACCCTATGTTATTCAGTACTATTGTCCACAAAATAAATGAAGAAATATCCTTATTTGAAGATTGGAACAATTAAAAAAAGCAATTAAAACCTAAGTTCTCTTTAAATGTAAGAAGAACTGGAAAATGTTGAAAACCATCATATTGACAGTATTTAGTGATGAAGTGATGGGTAGCAGCAAACAACAAGACACTCAGTAAGTAGGCTCTTATCTAGGGAATGTTTCCAAAAGGGTTGATGACACCATCTGCAAGGGAGAACTACAGTAGGAATACAGTGGCAAAAGTGCCTAGAAAAATCTCAGAGATTTCTACAAAGCTGCTTTTCAGTGTAGTCCATTGCTTACAACTATTTGTAGTGGGTCTGGCTCAGGTGAAGTTAATTTTCTTCGCAGCAGCCTCTGTGGTGCTGTGTTTTGGATTTGGGACTCAAACAGTGCTAACACAGCAGTGCTCTGGCTGTTGCTGCAGTGCTTACACAGCAGCAGGTTCTCTCACCTCCTCCCTGCTCAGTGAGTAGGCTGGGGTGGCACAAGAAGCTGGGATGGCACGCAGTGGATGCAGATGGCCTGAACTGACCTAAGAGACATTCCTTACCTTATGACAGGCTCAAAAAGGAGAGCTTAGGGCACAGAGGAGGAAGTGGAGATGTTCACAGTTACAGTGTTCTGGCACCCCAAGTAATTCTTATGAGCACTGAGGCCCTGCTTTCAGTGCAGGAGCCAAGCATCCACCAGCTGATGGGAAGTATGGAATAAATCCCTTATTTTGCTCTGCTTATGCATGAAGCTTTGCCTCACTAAATTGTCTCTACCTCGACCCACGAGTTCTCACTTTTGCTCATCCAGTTCTCTCCCTATCTGGCTGAGGGGTGGGTGAGAGTGACTGGGTGGGGGCTTGGCTGCTGGCCAGGGTCAACCCACTACATTATTTCAACAGGAGATTTAAAAAAAATCTTTCATGTAATGAATGCCCAGGAACAGAAGATGCATCTCTATGGCTGTTGGCAGGAACAAATCAGAGCTGCTGTCCCAAGGATCACATTGCATAATAATAAGCATTTTGTTTGCTACCTTAATGAAGCAGATCTCTGTTTGCTATTATTGAATGAACATTTCCATTATTAGTACTACTCCCTCAGTAAATTCTAAGCTGGGGTTGAAAAGCCATGATACACACGTGTAATGAAGAAAGAGATCCTTCATAATTATTAAGTCATGGATGGACTAAATGGTCATCTCAGAAACAGCAGGAGATTTCTCTGGTTGCCCTTGTTCTGCATAGAATGGCAGAGCTTGGTGCAGACTACTATCCTAAAAAATAATCTCTGATTTCATTTTAAGGTGTTTTACATTTGGTTTTTTTTCACATTCAACTAAGCATATTGTATTTGCAACAGATGTCATAATAAAAATTAGGAGAAAGGAAGAAACAGAGCAGTATTAAATCCAAAGTGATTCCCAGAGAGCAAAAAGCCCTTCAATAAACCCTTTTCCTTTTTCTGTATTTTTGTCTTCACTTAAATAATCCAACATAACCCGAATCCATATAATCTAGTTCAGGTGGAACAAAACCTTGTAGTAATGCTCAGTAAGCATTACTACAGTTACTACAGCCTGAAGATCCAGGCCCTGCAGTTACACGGTATTTCTATGTTTGTTTAAAGGCAAATATACAGAAAGTGGAGAAAATACATCATACTTTAAAATATCTGATGTTTTCAGGCTTCCAATTAAATGACAGGAGGACAATTATCCAAGTGGAAACTATCCCTTCCAGTACAGTAATGCAGAAAAGCAAGACAAGCACAGAAATGGGGTGGCAGTGCAAGAAATATACTGCCATGACTTACTTTTCAAAAGTGCTAATGAGAAAGTAAGAGGCTGATGCTGAACCAGGCTTCATAATCAAAACTAATTTTCAAACCTCTTCTATCACACAGTCTGTAATGAATGGAGAATTATCCTTGTACTGCTAGTTTTATGCCCTCATTTTTCTCTTTTAGACTGTGGCCAAATATTTCCATGAGCTGTCACTTCCTAGCTGATTAATCAATCAGGCAGTTTTGCATCTACATAATCAAACTAAGTAGTCCTTCAGAGATTTTCTGTGTGAATGATGGCCTTGGCATTCTTGGGGCAGTGA